TTGTCATTTTCTTCATTTAATTCAACAGCTTCCTCAGCACCCTGAGGCTCATCTTCCTCTACTACAACAATAGCTTCCTCAGCTCCCTGAGGCTCATCCTCTTCCTCCTCTACAGACTGCACGTTCTCAGGATCTTTCACAGGACCAACGGCCTCATCAGCTTGAGCTTTATGTGGGCATGCTAAACGCTTATGCCCAACGTCTCCACACTCAAACATTTCATATTCCCAGTGTTTGCATAAACCATGTACGCTCTTCCTTCATGCCAAACTTTAAAAGACACGTCTAACGCCTGTTCATTCAGGAACATAAAAACCTGTCTTCTAAACGACATTACGTGCTTTAGCGCTTCATTTCTACATCCAAGAGGAACGGTTTTAATGGCGCTAGCTAACTTACCTATCGCAAAAGCTCTCGTTCTATCTCATTACTCTGGATGAAAGGCGGCACGTTTGACACAGTCACCTTAATAGTTGGAGCAACCAGCGGCAAAACAGTAACAAAGTCTCCACTTCCACTATTCCGCTGCTTATAAGATGATTCACGTGGTTCTCTTCTTTTAAAAACACAACCACCGCTTTATTCATTCGCGAGGCAGATGAAATGTTTTCATAGCCGATCTCCTGTCCAACTGCAAGTAGCACTTCCTCCACATTCACCCCGTTCGCCGTCACACACCTGACTCCATGGCGGATGGAGACAGGTGGCGTAAGGGACGCCATCCCGCTCCCTAACTAATCCTCAAAATACTCTTATCACAACAAAAAAAGTTTACTCAGGAAACTTGAAACAAAAATTTAGAAAAGTTTGAAACAAGCACACGCTCACCCTCACCTCGTGTGAACCCTCACACGCACCCAACACTCCCAGCATGCACCGAGAGAGAGAGAGAGAGAGAGAGAGATGTGAAAGAGAGAGAGAAGAGAGAGGAGAGAGAGAGAGAGAGAAGAGAGAGAGAGAGAGAGAGAGACTTGACTTTTTAAAAACCCTTTAATAAAACATCACTGATTCACAAACATAGCAACACTCAATAAGTCAGAGAATCAAAACCGGTTGACATTTAGAAAAAAGAAAAACCTTCCACACGAATAAAAACATCAATTAGCTGAAAACACGACTAAAACTTACTTCTTCATCCACCACAGAACAGATGACATCATCATAACACCACTGACGTACAAACACATCCAAGCTGTTCATCAGCTGATGGAACTTAAAATCCACTAACACTCTGGCTTTGACCAGAGAGGTGAACACAGGGACTACGTCTCCCACAGCCGTCCTTCTACTGCTTCTTCCTACTCAAGTATATGGACAGTTTGGCTTCTCCTAAAATAAAATTTAACAGTTGCCACTTTGTTGCATTGGTCTTCCTGTAACCTGCTCCAAAAACAAAAGCAGTGTTAGACCACACTTCATTAAAAGAAGAAAACAAGCACCCCAACACATTGAACAGTTCCCCCAGTCTGCTGCACTCTAAAAAACAATGAAAAACAGTTTCCAGCAGCCCACAGAAAGGACAGCCGTCAGAGACAGAGGGATTAATCACAGAGATAAAAGAATTCACTGCAACAGCCCCATGTAATATTCTCCACTGTAAGTCACCTGTACGCTTCTTTAAAGGAAGTTTGTAAACGACTCTCCAGGTGGGCTTCACAGCGTTACTAACCCCCAGTTTCTCCCTCCACACTGTGTCACTTCTACCATTTAACTTGTTTTTACACAACACCTTCACACAACACCTGTAAATCATTTTACCCGTCACCGTGTGCAGATCTGGGACCTTCTGATGCCTGACATCCAACAATAGACTGAACAACAGTCAAGATTGGGTACCAGTCCCAACTCTGGAAAAGGGTCCTCTTCGTCCGGAGCTTCCCACCTTTCCAGTACATCCTCAACAGCTCATTATCCGCTGCTGTTAGTTTGTTAGTCCAACCATTCAGAATGTTCCTCACGTGACGCACAGATTTTAGTCCAATTAGTGCAGCCACAGCCTCAGTGTTCATAAAACCAGGTCCAGCTACATCCACTATCCGTCTGAGAGTTGTAGCGCCAGCGAACGGAGTGTGTGATGGAGGCCTGGTGTACCACTGTCCTGTATGTCCATTGTGGATCCACCGATCAGAGGCTCGTTCAGTAACCAGTACAGGGAGACTGACGGCTCCAACCGTCTCTTCTTAAAAAGGTGCCAGGCCTTAAAAACTCCCTTATAAAAATCAGGCAATACAGACAAATTTAAATAACCAACATCCATTAAAAACAAAGCAGTGTCAAGTCCTAACCTGTCTGCTCTCCTTAAAATGCTGCTTGCAAACTCTTTCCACACTGGGTATTTAAAACCAGTCAGATATCTCTGTGCAAATTGAAATCGAAAAGTTGCCACTCTGCTTGCTAGGTGTACCAGGCCTTGCCCCCCTTCTTCTTTTGGTAAAAAAGCACACTCTGAGGTACCCAGTGTAACCTGTCCCAAAAAAGTCCACTAAAACTGCTTGTAGTTTTGAGAGTAAGCCAGCAGGTGGCTCCATACAAGCTAAACGATGCCACAGTGCTGAAGCTACAAGGTTGTTGATTACTAGAGTTCTTCCTCTAAAGGACATCTGAGCAAGCAGCCATTTCCACTTTTTCAACCTTCCTTTCATCGTCTCTATCATGCCCTCCCAGTTTCTTTTCACCATTTCTTCTTTGCCAAGATAAACACCTAGATACTTTATACCATCATTTCTCCATCCCAACCCCCCCGGCAGGACCGGAAGACCACCAAACCAGTTTCCAACTGCTAGAGCTTCACTTTTTGTCCAATTCACTTTTGCAGCAGAGATAAGACCAAACTCAGACACAATATTCCAACAATATTAATTTCAGCTTGATTTCTGACCAGGAGCATGACATCATCAGCATAAGCAGATAAAACGTGTGGTGTGTTAAAACCTGGTAAAACCAAACCATGAATACAGGACCGGATTCTGTGTAACAAGGGCTCAATGGACAATGTATACAGCATCCCAGACAGAGGACAGCCCTGTCTGACCCCCTGCCTACTGTGAAGGGAGCACTCAGACCCCCGTTAACCTTCAGCACACTCTGAATGTCTCTGTACAAAACTTTTATCATAGCAATGAGACGTGGGCTGAGACCAAAACGCTCCAGAACTTTCCAAAGATAAAGGTGCTCAACCCTGTCAAACGCTTTTTCTTGGTCTAACGAAATGAGACCAAGGTCAGTGCCCAAAGAACTAGAGACATCCAAAACATCCCTGATTAATGACACGTTGTCTGTGATGGACCTACCAGGCACACAGTACGACTGATCCAGGTGAATGATTTCCTCCATCACCTGCTTCAACCGGTTAGCCAGAGCCTTGGACAAGATCTTGTAGTCCGAACAGAGGAGGGAGACTGGGCGCCAGTTTCTGACGTCCTGGAGGTCTCCTTTCTTCGGCAGCAGAGTTATTACAGCTCTCCTGCAGCTCAGAGGCAGGGTCTGATTTTCAAAACTTTCATTGAACACATCTAACAAGTCCTGACCAAGCTCTTTCCAGAAGGTCTTGTAGAACTCGACAGGAAGACCGTCAATACCTGGGGCCTTCCCTCCATCCATCCCCTGCAGGGCAGCATGCAGCTCTTCCAAAACCAGAGGCTCCTCCAGCTCAGGATGGTCATCTCCAGAGATTCTGGGCAGGCCTTCACTGAAACACTCAAACAGTTGTTCATGCTCCACATGCTGCGCTTTATACAGCTCAGAGTAAAACTGCACCACCCGTCTCCGGATCTCATGAGGCTCCGTGAGTTCTTCCCCATCAGCTGACTGTAGTGTGTGGATGTACCTGCTCTGCCCATTTGTCTTTTCTAAGCCAAAGAAAAACTTGGACGGAGCGTCCATCTGGTTGATGCTCTGGAAACGTGAACGAACCAGTGCTCCCTGGGCTTTGGTGCCCAGCAGGTCTGCTAACAAAGCTTTTTTAGATTGAGGGCTTCAAAATGCTCTCGATTTCCTGTGGACTCAATCAAGCCTAAAAGTTCCACTATCTCAGTCTCTAGAGTCGTCATTGATCTAGTAATGTCCCTCATGACATTCAGAGTGTACTGTAGACAGAGCTGTTTGATTTTAACCTTCCCACAGTCCCACCATTGTCTTAAAGAAACAAAACTGTTCCTTTCAGCCCTATGCACCTTCCAGAAATAAACCACAACATCTTTGAAATTAGCATCACTGAGTAAATTGGTGTTAAAATGCCAGTATGCACTCCGTTTTTCAGTTTTTGCAATAAAAGCACTGCAGACCACTAAAAAATGATCACTAAAATGTACAGGTAAAATGCTACATGCCTTAAAAACACTAAAATGATGTTTAAAACAATAAAACCTGTCCAGTCGAGCCAAAGAAATAAAATTTTCTCTTGTATGCACCCAGGTGTACTGTCGGTCTTCAGTGTGCAACCTCCTCCAAACGTCCACCAAATCATGTGTTTTTATTACTTCATTAATTGCCTTTTTCGAAGCAGCATGAGGTTCAACATGATTCCTGTCCAAAGAATCATTCTGAGTACAATTAAAATCTCCCCCTAAAAACAAAAACTCATCTGAACCAAAACTAGTCAGAGTGTCACTGAGAGTATTAATAAAACGGACTCTGTCTGAGCCGACATTTGGAGCATAAACATTAATGAATGTGAGAGTGAAACACTCAAACTTGGCTCTGACCATCATCAGCCTTCCTTCTATCACTTCTTTAAGTTCATAAGAAATCGGCAGAAACTTTTTAGAGAAAAGGATGGCTACCCCCCCGCTCACTGAGGTCAAGGAGCTTAACACGACCTCGCCGTCCCATTCTGATCTCCAGTCAGTTTCACTGGACCTGTCGCTGTGTGTTTCCTGGACAAACATCACATCAACACTTTTCAGCTTCATCAGCTCATATAGCTGCATCCTTTTCCTGATGTCCGCAGCGCCATTTAAATTCAATGAGCAACTTTAAAATCACTCATTGAAAAAAAAAAAACAACCAGACAGCACACACAGACTGAGAAAAAGAAAACCTTTAGTTTGATTCCTCTCCATCTTCTTCATTAAGTTCATGTCTGATCTTCACCACTATTTTCCTCAACCTGTAAACCTCCTGCTCAGTTAAACCCTCTCTTCCTTTGGCCCTCAGCTGTGACTTGACTGAGTTAAGAAAAGCCTCTTTGTCTGGAAAGAAACTTTCAACTTTTACCCCTTTTACGTTCTTTGTTTTCTGTAGAAACAGTTTGATTTTCTCAACCCCATAAATCTGTTCATTCAGCTCTCCTGGTGTTATTTTGTTCAGTGAGACATCACTCTCACTGTCTGCATCAAAACGGCCTTCCACACTGGAGTCATACTCCGCCATCGACTCCTTCACACTCTGCTTCTGTTTGTCTTTGCTGACTGTAACCTTCTTTGCTTTTGAGCCTTTACTGTCGATTTCAGATTTTCTTTTCTGCCGAGTGATTGTCAGGCTGCTCTCCTCACCAACCATGTCTATATCTGCACTTCCTGCCAAAATCTCCTCTGGCCCAGCTGTCTTACTATTTTGCGTCTCATCCTCCTCCTCCTCCTCCTCCTCATCTTCATCCTCCCCATTTTCCTCCTCCTCATTATTTTCAATATCAGCACCCACAGTCTCACAGCTCTGTTGAGACTCACCTGCCTTGTTTCCCTCATCACTGATGCTTTGACAGTTTGATGTGTCCTTTTCTCTGCAGCTAACAGTTTGATTTCCTCCCTCCATCTGTTCACCATCACCACTGTTGTCTCCACCTGTTTCCTCCTCCCTGTTCTTCATTTCAGCTCTGCCTCTTTGCTCCTTGTCACTTATTCCTCCCTTTTTTCCAGCTTCCTTCTGCCCTGATGTTCCCTCTCCAGCAGTCTGACCAGATTCAGTACCAGCAGGTTTTTCTGGACACACTCGGATCACATGACCCTCCTTTCCACAGCCGAAACACTTCATAACGTCTGACGTGGCAAACAGAACATAATCAAACCCATCAATTTTCAGCCGAAAAGACAAGTTCAACTCTTCCTTGCTGTTATTCAGGATCATGAATAACTGTCTCCTGTGAGACACCACATGCTGGAGCAAAGGAGACTTACACCCAGACAGGGCTTTTTTAATAGGGGACACTATTTTCCCATGCCTGGAGAGTTCTCTCTCCAGCACTTCATCTCTGATGAACGGGGGGACGTTAGACAAAATCACCCTTCTGGCCGGTGAGGCCAGAGGCAGCACTGGTACGAACGTTTCATTCACCACAATACCGCTTGTGATGGCGGCGTTAGCTTTTTCTACTTCGTCCACAAAGATCACCACCGCCCCGTTCATCCTGGCCGCAGATCTCACACTGCCGGCCCCGACAACCTCCGCCACCGCTAACGCACACTCCTCTACGGAGCAGCGGAAACCCGGACAGATCTTAAGTCCGTGTTTCCTCGTCAGCCTGGAGAACTCCATGCTGCCGAGCAGCGAAACGCTGCCCGACACAAAAAAACGACAACAAACAAACACACACACCTGACAACAACAACTAACCTTAGAACTACACACAGTAACACATTAAACCGACATGAAACAAGAAAAAGTTTAGAAAAACACTCACTCGCTCCGCGAACTCACACTCACTCCACACTCACGCATCCACTCAGAGAGAGAGAGAGAGAGAGAGGGATGTAAGGAGAGAGAGAGGGGAGGGAGGCAGCCTACACAATATACACACAGAGGTACAGACAGCGAAGGTAACAACACCATCAAGAATCCTGAATCTCACCCTTCTGCCGCCTTTCCCAAGCTAGTTTCTTTCAGGGGCCACATAGGGGCTCCAAATCACAACAGCTCAAATCAGCGTCCCACACCCATCATACAGTTGTATTTTGGTATTAAACTCCATTTAGAACTTATTAGGTGGCTGTTAGCTCATAAAGTCCACAAAAGGAGCTTTACACACTCGCTTAGGCTTGAGAAGCAAGAGAGTCCTGTTCAGTGAAATATGGGGTATCAAATGGTATTTTTGTTGTAAAGAAGAAATCTGGTGAAACACTCTGCCCTGTGACTGATCTGTGTAAAACAACAGAAAGTGAGTTAAATTTGACTCCAAAGTACAACAGGTCACTGGAAGCCATCAACTCAGTGTGTACAGGCTAAAAGGCCTGCTTCTACCTTTTAGAGGCTTTCATGTAGAAATCTCTACATGAGTCCTGTTCAGTGAAATGGCTGTATGAAATTGGTATTATTTGTTGTAAAGGTGAGGTGTGGTGAAACACTCTGTCCTGTGACTGATCTGTGTAAAACAACAGAAAGTGAGTTAATTTGACTCCAAAGTACAACAGGTCACTGGAAGCCATCAACTCAGTGTGTACAGGCTAAAACAGCCTGCTTCTACCTTTTTGAGGCTTTCATGTAGAAATCTCTACATGAGTCCTGTTCAGTGAAATATGGCTGTATGAAATTGGTATTGTTTGTGTAAAGGTGAGATGTGGTGAAACACTCTGTCCTGTGACTGATCTGTGTAAAACAACAGAAAGTGAGTTAAAATTGACTCCAAAGTACAACAGGTCACTGGAAGCCATCAACTCAGTGTGTAAAGGCTAAAACAGCCTGCTTCTACCTTTTAGAGACTTTCATGTAGAAATCTCTGAGTTGAGCTCCAAATGGCTTCAAACTTACCCAGAAGACTCACAGAGACAACACCATCAAAATCTTGAATCTCACCCTTCTGCCGCCTTTCCCAAGCTAGTTTCTTTCAGGGGCCACATAGGGGCCCCAAATCGCAACAGCTCAAATCAGCGTCCCACACCCATCATACAGTTGTATTTTGGTATTAAAACTCCATTTAGAACTTATTAGGTGGCTGTTAGCTCATAAAGTCCACAAAAGGAGCTTTACACACTCGCTTCGGCTTGAGAAGCAAGAGAGTCCTGTTCAGTGAAATATGGTGTATCAAATTGGTATTTTTTGTTGTAAAGAAGAAATCTGTTGAAACACTCTGCCCTGTGACTGATCTGTGTAAAACAACAGAAAGTGAGTTAAATTTGACTCCAAAGTACAACAGGTCACTGGAAGCCATCAACTCAGTGTGTACAGGCTAAAACAGCCTGCTTCTACCTTTTAGAGGCATTCATGTAGAAATCTCTACATGAGTCCTGTTCAGGGAAATATGGCTGTATGAAATTGGTATTGTTTGTTGTAAAGGTGAGATGTGGTGAAACACTGTCCTGTGACTGATCTGTGTAAAACAACAGAAAGTGAGTTAAATTTGACTCCAAAGTACAACAGGTCACTGGAAGCCATCAACTCAGTGTGTACAGGCTAAAACCCTGCTTCTACCTTTTGAGGCTTTCATGTAGAAATCTCTACATGAGTCCTGTTCAGTGAAATATGGCTGTATGAAATTGGTATTGTTTGTTGTAAAGGTGAGATGTGGTGAAACACTCTGTCCTGTGACTGATCTGTGTAAACAACAGAAAGTGAGTTAAATTTGACTCCAAAGTACAACAGGTCACTGGAAGCCATCAACTCAGTGTGTACAGGCTAAAACAGCCTGCTTCTACCTTTTAGAGACTTTCATGTAGAAATCTCTGAGTTGAGCTCCAAATGGCTTCAAACTTACCCAGAAGACTCACAGAGACAACACCATCAAGAATCCTGAATCTCACCCTCTGCCGCCTTTCCCAAGCTAGTTTCTTTCAGGGGCCACATAGGGGCCCCAAATCGCAACAGCTCAAATCAGCGTCCCACACCCATCATACAGTTGTATTTTGGTATTAAAACTCCATTTAGAACTTATTAGGTGGCTGTTAGCTCATAAAGTCCACAAAAGGAGCTTTACACACTCGCTTCGGCTTGAGAAGCAAGAGAGTCCTGTTCAGTGAAATATGGGTGTATCAAATTGGTATTTTTTGTTGTAAAGAAGAAATCTGTTGAAACACTCTGCCCTGTGACTGATCTGTGTAAAACAACAGAAAGTGAGTTAAATTGACTCCAAAGTACAACAGGTCACTGGAAGCCATCAACTCAGTGTGTACAGGCTAAAACAGCCTGCTTCTACCTTTTAGAGGCATTCATGTAGAAATCTCTACATGAGTCCTGTTCAGGGAAATATGGCTGTATGAAATTGGTATGTTTGTTGTAAAGGTGAGATGTGGTGAAACACTCTGTCCTTGACTGATCTGTGTAAAACAACAGAAAGTGAGTTAAATTTGACTCCAAAGTACAACAGGTCACTGGAAGCCATCAACTCAGTGTGTACAGGCTAAACAGCCTGCTTCTACCTTTTAGAGACTTTCATGTAGAAATCTCGAGTTGAGCTCCAAATGGCTTCAAACTTACCCAGAAGACTCACAGAGACAACAATTCATTCAATTCAATTCAATTTTATTTATATAGCGCCAAATCACAACAACAGTTATCTCACAGTGCTTTTCATAAAGAGCAGGTCTAGACTGTACTCTGTGATGATATTTACAGAAGCCCAACAGTTCCCACCAAGAGCAAGCACTAGGCGACAGAGGCAAGGAAAAACTTCCTTTTAAGAGGCAGAAACCTCGAGCAGAACCATGGCCAGGTGGCGGCCATCTGCCTCGACCGGTTGGGGTGAGAGAGAGGAGAGAGAGAAAGAAGAGAGAAAGAGAGTGAAAGAGAGAGATAGAGAGAAAGAGAGGGAAGAGATAGAGAGAGAGAAGAGAGAGAGAGAGAGAGAGAGAGAGAGAGGGATGTAGGAGAGAGAGAGGGTAGGGAGGCAGCCTACACAATATACACAAAGGGTACAGACAGCGAAGGTAACAACACTCAAGAATCCTGAATCTCACCCTTCTGCCGCCTTTCCCAAGCTAGTTTCTTTCAGGGGCCACATAGGGGCCCCAAATCACAACAGCTCAAATCAGCGTCCCACACCCATCATACAGTTGTATTTTGGTATTAAACTCCATTTAGAACTTATTAGTGGCTGTTAGCTCATAAAGTCCACAAAAGGAGCTTTACACACTCGCTTAGGCTTGAGAAGCAAGAGCCTGTTCAGTGAAATATGGGTGTATCAAATTGGTATTTTTTGTTGTAAAGAAAAATCTGGTGAAAACACTGCCCTGTGACTGATCTGTGTAAAACAACAGAAAGTGAGTTAAATTGACTCCAATACACAGGTCACTGGAAGCCATCAACTCAGTGTGTACAGGCTAAAACAGCCTGCTTCTACCTTTTAGAGGCTTCTGTAGAAATCTCTACATGAGTCCTGTTCAGTGACTATGGCTGTATGAAATTGGTATTGTTTGTTGTAAAGGTGAGATGTGCTGAAACACTCTGTCCTGTGACTGATCTGTGTAAAACAACAGAAAGTGAGTTAAATTTGACTCCAAAGTACAACAGGTCACTGGAAGCCATCAACTCAGTGTGTAAGGCTAAAACAGCCTGCTTCTACCTTTTAGAGACTTTCATGTAGAAATCTCTGAGTTGAGCTCCAAATGGCTTCAAACTTACCCAGAAGACTCACAGAGACAACACCATCATGAATCTGAATCTCACCTTCTGCCGCCTTTCCCAAGCTAGTTTCTTTCAGGGCCACATAGGGGCCCCAAATCGCAACAGCTCAAATCAGCGTCCCACACCCATCATACAGTTGTATTTTGGTATTAAAACTCCATTAGAACTTATTAGGTGGCTGTTAGCTCATAAAGTCCACAAAAGGAGCTTTACACACTCGCTTCGGCTTGAGAAGCAAGAGAGTCCTGTTCAGTGAAATATGGGTGTATCAAATTGGTATTTTTTGTTGTAAAGAATCTGGTGAAACACTCTGCCCTGTGACTGATCTGTGTAAAACAACAGAAAGTGAGTTAAATTTGACTCCAAAGTACAACAGGTCACTGGAAGCCATCAACTCAGTGTGTACAGGCTAAAACAGCCTGCTCTACCTTTTAGAGGCATTCATGTAGAATCTCTACATGAGTCCTGTTCAGGAAATATGGCTGTATGAAATTGGTATTGTTTGTTGTAAAGGGAGATGTGGTGAAACACTCTGTCCGTGACTGATCTGTGTAAAACAACAGAAAGTGAGTTAAATTTGACTCCAAAGTACAACAGGTCACTGGAAGCCATCAACTCAGTGTGTACAGGCTAAAACAGCCTGCTTCTACCTTTTTGAGGCTTTCATGTAGAAATCTCTACATGAGTCCTGTTCAGTGAAATATGGCTGTATGAAATTGGTATTGTTTGTTGTAA